CCCCCCCGTTCGTTGTAACCTCTGCCCCCAAAACCTCAAGCGCGACATTCCCTGCCCTCACATTTCATTTATTCTGACAACGAACACGTGATACTTGTTCGAAAATTCACGAATAAAAACTCGACTTTCCGAAGATCTTCTTTCTTTTCAGCAAACCTGTATGTTCTCTGAACATATACAATTAAACAGTTTCTGGTTTTTATTAATGATCTTTTATATAACAGCACTCACGAACAATAACTTTATTTTCCGCAGCCTTTAATAGCAAAGGAAATTCCTTGGATCTCAACAAACGTTGGATTTGACTCCATGCCGCCCCAGTATACGGATCGGTATTGAAATGTCTTATGGTAAACAGCATTTTGCATTTTACGAGTGACGAGTGATGCGATTTGACATACTGATAGGCTTTGCCACAGCTTTGGGCGACTCAGCCGGCAGTATAGGCAGATATTATTGCCGGCAAGAACAAGGAAGACTGGCTTATTAGCCGTCGTCGGCCATTTATGCCCAGACTCAAGTGGTGCCTCACTCAAACCTGGAACTGGCAACCTTTTGATCAGAGTCAAGCGCCCTCCCTATGGCGGATAATGTTATTTCACATTATACCACCAAAACTAATCGCCATGATCAAGGCATACAACCGCTCCACCACTGCGCGAGTATTAGTCCACAGCAACCTCTCAGAACCCTTCGCTATTCGGTCAGGCCTTCGGCAAGGTTGTGTCCTGTCGCCCATCCTCTTTAAGTACGTCATTGACTAGGTTCTCGGGAAGGCCCTACAAGAAGGTGACGGTATTCAGCTTGCACCTGGGCGCCGGTTTACTGACCTTGACTATGCCGATGATATCGTTTTACTAGTATCAAGCTTTGGCGATCTTCTGGCTATGGTGTCACGGGTGAATGAGGTCGCGAAAACGGTCGATTTGTCCATAAACTCTGGGAAGACCAAAGTGTTTTCCTGCTGCATCCCTACCGAGGTGAAGGTATCTCTCGAGATTGGTGGCTGTAAGCTTGAAGAAGTCGACAGTTTCAAATACCTCGGAACGAGGTTGCTGCCGAATGGACAGAGTAAGAATGGCATTGTCTCCCGGATTGATGCAGCGCGACGAGTGTTCGCCAGCCTTCGGAAATGCTCATGGACCGGACGCGATATTTCTACCTCAACAAATGTCCGCGTGTACCGACCATCTGTGCGGTCCGTTCTACTTTACAGATGCGAATGTTGGGCTATGCGCGTGGAGGATGAACAGAAACTGGAAGACATCGACCACTACTGTCTGAGAAACATCCTTCGAGTGAAGTTCACCGACGTCGTCTCAAATGAGACAGTCCGCACTCGCTGTGACAAAATCACA